GACTCACCCACTCCGAGCCATGGCTGTGCACAGCAAGATGTCCAGTTCTCGCCGCGCCGCAGCGGTGGCCCTTGGTGCCGGTGCCTGCGCACTTGCCGGCACCAGTTTCGTGGCCCCGCAGGCACCGCAGACAGTCGCCCACCAGAGCGTTGGACATGCTATGCAGGCGGAGCCTCGTGGCGTCCCATCCAGCTTCGGCGCGGTCGCCGGAGTGGCCAGCATGGCCAGCATGGCAGGTCTAGCAGGCCTCGCAGCCGGCACAGGCCGACGCGCCAAGACCACCAAGACCGCCAAGCAGCAGCGCGTGGTTTCCGTGCAGGCACGAGGAGGTGAGGAGGACACTCGGGGCTGCATCCCATTGGAGGAGCTGCGCAACACCGATGTGGATAAGGTCGGTGGAAAGAGTGCTTCTTTGGGTGAGATGATCTCGCAGCTCTCGGATGTGGGGGTGCCTGTGCCGGGCGGTTTCAGCACCACTTCCTATGCCTACAAGGAGTTCTTGGACAAGGGAGGCATCAACCAGTTCATTAACGACAAGCTGTCGGACGAATCCATCTACGAGGACGTGGACAAGTTGATGAAGGTGGGCAAAGAGATCCGTGACAAGATCATGGACACACCCTTTCAAGCCAACTTCGAGGAGGAGCTGAAGGCAGAGTGGGAGCGCGTCAGCGGCGGCGATGAGAAGTTCACCTTTGCCGTGCGATCCTCTGCGACCGCCGAGGACTTGCCCGATGCCTCCTTTGCAGGCCAGCAGGAGACTTACCTGAACGTCATGGGCTATGCCGACATGAAGGAGAAGGTGCACCTTGTGTTCGCCTCCCTGTTCACGGACCGAGCAATCTCGTACCGCCACGACCGTGGATTTGAGCACGAGAAGGTGCAGCTGTGCGCTACTTGCCAGAAGATGGTGCGCAGTGAGACGGGCTCCGCCGGAGTCATGTTCTCCTTGGACACGGAGAGCGGCTTCCGGGATGTGGTCTTCGTGACTTCTGCTTACGGACTGGGTGAAACTGTTGTCGGTGGCACCGTGAACCCCGATGAGTGGTATGTCTTCAAGCCAACCCTGGCTGAGGGCAAGAAGTCCATCATCTCGCGCACCATGGGCTCCAAGCTCGTGAAGATGGTGTACAAAGCAGGCGGCGGCTCAGAGACCATCGACACCAGCAGCGAGGAGAGGGGAAGCTGGTCGGCGACAGACGAGGAGGTCACGGCCTTGTCTGAGATGGCTGTGAAGATCGAGAAGCACTATGGACGGCCCATGGACATCGAGTGGGCCCGGGACGGAGATGATGGCAAGCTGTACATTGTGCAGGCCCGTCCGGAGACGGTTGCATCTCAGAAGAAGGTAGGCGTCATTGAGGAGTACAAGATGCTGGAGAAGGGTGGAGAGACCGTTGCAGAGGGCCGTGCTGTGGGCAAGCGAATCGGCAGTGGCAAGGTGAACATTTTGACCAGCATTGACCAGATGTCCGAGTTCAACGAGGGCGAGGTGCTGGTGGCAGACATGACGGACCCTGACTGGGAGCCCATCATGAAGAAGGCTCGATGTTTGGCTGCCTTCTGAAGCCACTGAAGCATTCACGGTGTTTTGTTTGACGTTGGATAACATCGAGATGGCCTGAGATGGCCCTTAAGGTAATCGTTTGTCGTGACAGGCCGGCGCCATCATCACCAACCGCGGTGGGCGCACCTGCCATGC